CATATCTTAATGTGTTAATATCTTAATCTCCTCATGTAACAATTAAGGTGAAATAACACTAAACACGCACTTATACATACACAATCACTTTTTGTTTAGTCATAAAGTAAATATTTGAAAGCAACAAGGGGAATGGTATCCCATGGTTTAAAACCAATAATGTTAATTGCACTTGGAATGTAAACTTTAGCTACCCTTAACTTCAGCACTTGCTGTCATCTATAACTAAATATTCTGCATACATGTGTATTATCTAAAAGTACATGAAATATACTGACATATGTAATTATCACCGAGCCAATAAATAATTTAGAGTCACCATTTTTATAACATAAAACTCTTGGTATGCCAAGCATACTAAAATTCTACTAAATGCACTCTTTAAAACATCACACCTGAGTACATAATAAATACTTGCTAAACGTGGCCTTTTTCTATATTACAGCTCTCTTAATGTCTATAGCCATAAGTTTTCACTTCTAAATATAATAAAAGTGCTACTCATTACTAAGAGTAAGATAGCACTTGTATTATTTGTAAATTACCAACATTAACATAGTCTAATTATTATTACATTTGTTTGGAGCTTTCCTTAATCCTTTTAAGGGACAGCAGCTGTGCGAGTTTCTGCAGTTTAGCATTGTTACTATTTAGATTTGTACAATCTTACTAAATCTCTATTGCCAAGAGATCCAGAATTCAAGTACTTTAAAAAAAATTAACTCAATATCAACAAATTCAGTGGGCAAGTTCCTGGTGGAACATGCAATTATTTTATAACTGAGTAAACATTTGCAAGAAATAATGCACTCAATGTAAAAAATCAAAATAAAAACGCATGCTTTATTTTTAAAGTTTTAGTTCTAGCTGAAAACAGCCTTTTAATTACTATATCTTAAAAGTACCTCATTATACATCTTACTTCATGTTTTTTAATAAGTAAAAATATATATTTTAAAATGTTGGTAGCATTTCTCTTAAAGTTATTTTCATCTGTCCACTTTCTAGATGAAGATATATAGGTGAAATTCAAATAACGATGTGAACACTTTTGAGTATATAAGCTTCTTACCCAGCCAACATTGTGTAAAAAAGGACTCCTAAACTCCAAATATCACAAGCAGCATCATATCCCTGTTGCATAAGAACCTAAGAAAGAAACAGTCATTATGTGGTATTACTCGATATAAACTCAATTTTCTCATTTAAAAGAAAGTTGTTTTGCTTCTAATAATTTAACAAATGTTCACAAT